GTGATGCAACTGCTCACCACCCTCCGACTCATGCCCAGCCAGTCCCTGAGCAGTGATTGCTGCCCCCCTGGCTAACTCCCCCCAGTTTATATACTGGGCATGACATCATATGGTATGGAATAGCCCTCTGGTCAGTTTGGGTCAGCTGTCCTGGCTATACTCCCTCCCAGCCTCTTGCGCACCACCTTGCTGGCAGAGTATGGGAAGCTGAAAAGTCCTTAACTCGGTACAAGCACTGCTTAGCAACAACTAAAACATCAGTGTGTTATCAACATTGTTCTCATGCTAAATCCAAAACACAGCACTATGCCTGCTACTAGGAATGAAATTAACTCTATCCCAGCTGAAACCAGGACAATGCCATAAGCTATTATCAAGAAAATTCCTATTTTCACTTTTTTTATCCTTGAACTAAAAATGTCATGAAAACAGAATAAAGGCATTAAATATATAAAGAGCAATTGTGAGTTGATTGTACAAATTACATTAGAAATTGATTCAGTTCCTGATCTTCACTGAAGCAAAAGAAAGAAAATGAAGATTTGTCTAAATACAAATATGTCTGAGAGTAGACCATGTTAGAAGTGAGATATCACAGGAGCTGAGTGAATAATGCAATGCAAATGCTTCAGCTGTCTCTTCAATGCATAAATTAAGATTAGATTAGTCTTTTGCTCTGAAGTATATTCCAGATAGGATTAACTAGTTGTCCTAAAATTATAAAGGCATTAGAACATAGGTAATAAAAAAAATAGAATAGGGCAAGTTAGTAATCTAATATCCTCCAAGTGAAGATTTTTGGAACCAAATACCAGGTTTTAAGTTTGGTTTTTTTTTTTTTTAAAGGCATGCATTTTATTCTAGTGTTCTACAGTATGACACTAGAGGGGTCAGCATGTTGTCCTGAAAATATATGCTTCCTTTAATCTGTTAGTCATTAAGAATTTGCACTCATCTTTATAATAAACTCTGTATATACTGTTTGTGATACTTGTATTAAATTAGAACACTTCCTTCTTTACTGCCTTGAGCAACTCCAATGAAATTGGAACCGGTCCAGTTGTCTTTAATGTAGACAATCTAAAAGTAGATCAGTCCAAACAGACATTGTACATTCATATGCTATTTTTCTGAAATAGAGGGATTTTGCCCTTAGAACAAAATGTGTTTGATAGTTAGCATTCAGATGCTGCAGTAATTGAAGAAGTTGCTGTGGCAGCTGGGTCTAACTGATAACATTCATTTATTATTGAATGTTTATATCTTCAAAGTATTTTTACTTCTGTTTTTGAAAAGGTTAAGAGTAGAAAATGAATCCTGTATGCTACTTTAAGGCAAAATTAAGATTATGAATCTGCCTACACAAATCTGAAAATTCCAAGGTTATGGTTACCACTCTTACATTACGTGGTATCATTTCATATTGGATTACTGTTTATATTGTTAAAAGTGTATTTCCGTGCTACAATGAGAGGTGGTAATTTTAAAATTACCAAGTTTTGAACGTAGAGATTTCCCTTCATTCTCAGATCACTGTGGCACACAATGAAGTTGTCGATCTTGTTACATGTTACCCCTCTAGATGGAGGATCCTTTTGTAACACATTTCTTAACCTCCCTAGGTCCTTTTACCATGTTCAGCTGACCCCTGCCTGTCTAGTTGGCAGGCTGGGTGGATTGTGCTCTTGCTATGTTGCTACAGGGCATCTACTCCTTTAGCTTGCTCTCATGACTCTTAGGTTTTTATCCTTTTTATCAATATTGTTACTGCCAATATTGGAATTATACACCTATTGCAGCCCAGATCATACCACTGCCAAATTCAGGTTTAATATGTTCTCTTATTTGTAGTTGAGGCTTTCTGTTTATACCTTCAAGGCTACAGAATCACTTTGGGAGTTCATGTCTAGCTCTTTATATCATAGTTGTGACCTTTGTCGGAGCCACTGCACAGGAGAATTGTCTACAATATCTGTACAGGGTCACCTGCATTTTCTGTTTACATATGTATGACTCCATCTTCAAACATACTAAAACACACCCTTTGTTTGAAAGCTGTTTACTAGATAAATCAAAATGTCACTGTATCTGTTGCCTTCCACCTTTACTACATTTCAGTCCTTGAGTCATCTGTACACTTTACTAGTGATTACAGCATGTCTTCCTCCAGATCCCTGGAAAAAAACATTAGATGGTATTGGGATAAAAGGTGATGGTGCTGTAGGTTGTCTGAGATTAAAACAAGAGATCTGAATGAAGTCAGACGACTGCAGCCGTGACTGAAGTCACTGGGAATTCTAATTCTCATTTTAATTCAGATTTTCTAGGGAAATAAAAAAATAAAACTACCTTTCAAATAGCAAATAAATTAAAAGTAACCATTGTCTCTTCTGGCAGAGTAACTTGGTCTTAACAAGGATGGGAATCTAAAACCTAAGTTTAAAGAAAAAATTTAAAAATCTTTGTTGACATATGATTGTTCATAACATTTTTTGTATCTTTTTATCCCACTGAAAGAAGTCTGTGCAGCCCCATTTCTGTCCTTTATAAGATTTTTTTTTTGTTTTTTCTTTATGAGGTCTACAGTTTCTTTGCTTGTACTGGTCTTTTTCCTTTGTTTTTAATAGAGCTATACCCTGATCCAAATGCAAGTAAGCGTAATGCAAGTTGGTCTGAAATTAACAATTAAAAAAATATAGTTCATGAACTGAAGGTATTTTAGTCTTTGCTGGTGCATATCAATGGAACATGTCCTAAGTCTATGAATGCATATCTTTGCATAGATAGGTTCTTTCTATAAGTTGTTAATGGCCTTTAATATTCCTTTCCTCAATAAGATACTTGGGAAATTCTCCAGATGGGATTTTCTGCTGAAAAGACAATATATTAGACTTGGAACTCCTGGCCATTTATATTCCTCATAAATGGTTTTAATACCAGTCTGTAATCGTTTCGTAGTTATTACTTATTTCATCGCATTTCATTATTTACTGCATAAGCATGCATTTCATACTCAGCAGAAACATATATATTAGTTCCAACAATTATTTTATACTCATTACTTTAAATTCTGTTCAGAGTTTCTGGTTTCCAGCTTTTCTTTTAATTTTTGCTTGGTTGTCTCTAAAATGCTCAATTAACTTTTAATTTTTAATTTTTGGTTTTTAAGAGGCTTGATGATCAGTTAGTTATAATGTTCCATACTATATTGTATTATTACTTGGGAAATATTTAAAAAAAAGAAAAGGGGATGTGTGTGCATAAAAAATTCCCCCGATAAATCAAAATACATATTCTTTTTCCTTAAATTTGCATTTCTAATTTTTTTTAATGTTTACAAATTGAAAAGCTTGTTTTTATTGTTTGCAAATTCAGAAAACCTCAGATGCATACTGAGAACAGTTATGTGGATGAACCACAATCTTTAAATTCTTAAATATTGGCTGTCATTTATTTATGATACACATTTTTTTTTCAGTGGTTTATTCCAAACCAGTGGAAATCTAACAGAAGAGCACTTGCTCCCCTCTGTAAGCTTTAGATCCAATCTGGAATGTTAAGGTGAGAGGGAGGCAGCTGATCAGCATAAAGACTGTTTCAAATCTAATATTTCTGTGTCATAGAATTATAGAATTGTTTAGGTTGGAAAAGACCTTTAAGATCATCGAGTCCAAACATTAGCCTAGTACTGCCAAGTCCACCACTTAACCATGTTCCTAAGCACCACATCAGCACGTCTTTTAAATATCTCCAGGGATGGGGACTCAACCACTTCCCTGGGCAGCCTGCTCCAATGAAATCTCTGTTCAGTTAGTAGCTGTTGGGAACTTGTTTTCTTAGCTGACCCTAGTCTTACTCAGCTGTAGTGGCTGATGATCGCTGCCTCACTAGGATCAAAGAAAGACCAGAGTAGTCTCACAGAGACAGCATTTTTGTCTGATGAATTTTTTGCCCACACCAAGGGGAGTTTACATTGCTGTATTTTTCTTTCAGTAAAAGAGAGTGTGGCAGAGAACAGAAGACTCACGCTATGGATCTTGCTTTGCCAGGGTTAAGCTGAGTGTTTGGAGCCATTGCTTGAATACAGGGATGAAGACAGAATGATGGGCGATGCACAGGGCAAATAGGAATTGCGTATCTCTAGGTTTAAGACTGCTTCTCAGCTTTCCTTCAGTGCTCTGACTTTTCTCATTCTGGCAACAACATTAGCAACTGATAATGATGAACCACATGCGTAATATTTGTCTGCCAAATGTCGAAGGTCCCAAAACAAATCGTGACTTGATCCAGGACACATGGGAGCCTGTTTTACTGCCCCATTGCAGGGAACCATTTTAAGGCTAATGATTCTTGATGGCAATGACTGCTGCTTTATTGGGTTTGGAATTGCATTTAATTGGGGGGCCACTGGAGATTTAGTGGTTCTTCACTTCCTTGCACATCTTAGTTTCATGCTAGCTTCTATTTGTTTGCTCTTTTAAGAACATCACTGTGGCTCCCAGGATAGCTGTTACATACACAAAGAAAATTATAAACAGTGGGACAGTAGACGGGGAATTTACCTCTGCTCTTTAATTCAGAGGTATACGATTCCATTAGTGGTTCATATGGCTTTCTAAGGGAAGAAATGGAAAACTGTAAATACGGAGAGCATATTTTATGTATATAGTATGTTTGTAGTGTGAAGTCTTCACCTTTTGGAGCCACTGAAAACCAGTATTTTACCCAGTTTGTTTGAATTTGTGAGTGTTGATCATGACATATTTATTATTAAAATTTCAAATTAATTTACAGTTTTTTCTCCTGTCCTTTCTGATTTTTACTACATTAACTTATTTTGGGAAATCTAGAAGTACAACATCAATCCTGTTTTCATTTCGTTTATCATACACAATGATTTTTGAAACTATTCTATGTTGCTAAGCAATGTATTAGGAAGTATTATATGCAGTTATGATTTTATATGCACTTTGAATAAATAATTTTTCTTTTTTTCCCAGGAATTCTAGAGGTTTTACACTGTGTGTTGGTGGAAAGCCCAGAAGCTCTAAACATTATTAAGGAAGGACATATTAAATCGATCATCTGTCTTTTGGATAAACATGGAAGAAACCATAAGGTAGGCAAAGAAGAGACAAGTATATTTAGCAAGCACATTGTTCTGTGTAGAAGTTAGATTTCAAATACTTTAATACTGTCTTCATACTTAGGAATGAAACTTTTCCTAAAAGGCATATGAGCAGTTTGAGGAAACAAAGAGGAACATTATCTTCTTTTTGATGAAAACATTGAAACACACTAAATCTCAAGGGAAGCAGGAAGAATATATCCTAATATTGTTAGGAGAATTTCAGAATTGTTGTAAAATAAAACTACTGTGTTGGATGAATTGCATACCCTTACATGTCTTCCAGTAACAAGGTATATAGCATTATATTGCCTGAAGTAACTCACAGTTATTTTGAACTCTTTAGCATGAAAAAATATTTAAGATGAAAAGAACTTATTTTTTTTCAGGTTTTGGATGTTTTGTGTTCTCTCTGTGTTTGTCATGGAGTAGCTGTGCGGTCTAATCAACATCTAATCTGTGATAATCTCCTGCCAGGAAGAGATCTGCTCTTACAGACGCGCCTTATCAACCATGTGAGCAGGTAAAAAGAAAAAGGAAAAATCTATATCTGTGAACAAAGCAGAATAAAACTTGTCGTTAAAATAAATAGTCACTACAGAAAACCTGTTTTACTTCAAAAACTTTTGTTAAGATACTTCATTCTTACTAGGATTTTAAATGCTCTCTGCAATATTGATTAGAATCAAAATATGGGTCAGAGAGAGCTGCTGCAAGCTAAAGCTGCTCTAAACTGCTTTAAGTCTGTGAAACTGTAGAGTCTCTTCTAAAGATTCTTGTCTAGATCTAGCTGTGCTTTCATAGTATTGTCAGTGTCCTGTGATTGCCTTTATGTTTGTGATCTTGTGAGGATTTCCTAATCCCCTTTGGTTGAAATCGAGACCTTAGTGCCAAACACCTTCACTGGTTTCTTAAACTAATATTATTGATTTTGCCTAGGATATTTAAGGAGTGCCCTCATCCTTCTTTCCACTGGCAGAGTTGTAGAAGTTACCTTCCAACAGACATTAATAACAAGATGAAGCTAGTAACATCTTAAACTAGCAAATTAATATTCACAAAGCAGATGTTTATCCAGAGTTTGAATTTATGCTGAGGCAGAAGAATCTGGCTTTAAGTGAAGATTTGTGGGATCTTCCTCTGTCTCAAACTTACGTCTCTTTTAAAAAGTCTCATTCATTAAGTGAGAATGAAAGTTGAAACATAGAAATAGTACTTATAATTCAGAGTTCATAGGATTTGTTAGATGCTGAAAAACAAAAATTCCACAACTGCATGTTATAAGGAGGCCTTTTCAAGTAAAAATAAGTTCAAGTCTAAAGTGAAATGAACTTGACAATTTTATAGCTAATACGTTCACTCAGATTTTTCATAACCACATGTGACTTGATTTGCCCCAACATATCTAATAGCGCACCAGCATATATAACACATGGAAAGATGGTGTTAATGGGAATCATTCCGTGTCAGTAATAAATTTGAACAACTGATAAGCTAAAATCACTAATGAAAACTTCTGTTGTTAATGCATGAGAAGGAATTTTAAATGCATGGGTACTGATTGAGCTTCTGAGCTGACTTTGGATCTTGTACGGTGAAGGCAGAGTTGTCTTTCCCACATATGGCTGTAGACAAAGCAAATGTAGTTAATACATATTTTTGATCTGCATTACAAAGTTGTGAATGAGAATATTCATATTCTTGCAGTTATAAAGAAAAAAAGGTTATTTTTTCAAAAGTCAGAAAGACCAATGAAACATTGAAAACATTTAGTGATAGACTGAGACTTGCATACTTCACACCAAAAATAATTGGCAAAGGAGCATTCTAAGATATTGCTGTTTAACGTACTTTTCCAGGGGACTGGAAAATTGTATTCACAAACCTCTGTTTAAAAAGAGTATGTTGGATGATTAGGTTGATTAAATTGTTGATTAAATGTTGATTAAATGGACAAAGGCATACTAAAGCTGATAACTATGTTCAGGCAGAAAAGAGTCCATTGATGATCTTACCAATAACTTACAAATTATTTGACTTTTCTAGAATATAGCTTTTGTCAAACAGGTTTTGTTTATATTTTTAAGGAGATTAACTGTTTGACTTGTGACAAAGTGAAGAGTATCTATACTTAAACTTTTGGCAAAAGATACCCCATATACTAATAGAAGCAAAGTGTATTAGTCTTATGTGATAAAACAAGTTATTTTATAAGCCATCAGATCAGTAAAGTCTGCTTTTACACTGACTTGTAACAGCCTGTATACCAACCCTTCTTCCTCC